GCACAACAGATAGCCCTAAAAAAAATGCCCCTTCCCCCTTATCATATACACACCCGCAGCATAACCAACAAGTGATGTTGCTGCTGGGTCCCATACTGGGGATAAAAAGCACACCAACACTCCTGTCCAGTAGATATATGGTCTATGACAAAGGCTCATAGATGCCTGGGCTGATCCAGGTCCCAAAGTTCCCTGTTTGGGTGCCAGCTGAGGGGAAGGGACTCTGTTCCGCAGAGCCATTCCAGGTTGCCACAGGAAATAAACTGTATCAGACACAATTTGCCTGTCAGGAGAAAAAGTTGATGATTCCCTCCAGTGGAGAATTCTCTGAGCTTTTCCCTAGAAGTGGTTTTTATTGAGAACAATATGTGCAGGGATAAACTGCATGCATACAAATTCTATCAATCTACATCAAGAAGATAGATAATAAATTGAAGAAATACAAAGATTTGTCTTAAATCAAGGTCCATTAGACAAGGTGGTGCCAGATGTGCATTAAGGCACAGTTTTTAGGGCTCAGAAATTATCTCCTTGCTGTGAAGTAAAACACTTGGTTTTTCTTTATCAGGGCAGTGCAGAGTAGAGCAAGCTTCAGTGGATACAATGTATTCTTCTGTGGGAGACAATTCCCAATGCCTCACAAAGTGGTCCCCAACATCAGTACCCATGAATTTGAGGGCATTCCTAGCAAAGTAAGTGTCATAGTATTTAATGCATTCCTTTTCCAGGCCTAATTGTCACTGGAACCACCTGATCTAGTTTAGGGCTGTACCTGCCTTCAGTATTGTTTCACTGACCCGGTCAGACAGCCAGGCAGAGCAGCCAAAAGATAGACTTCTTTCAGATAGAATGGGACTCTGGCCATGACAAAGCCTAGGGGTGAGGGTCTTTTACCCCTTCTCCTTGTCTCCCAAGTCCTTCCCTGATGGTCCCCATGTGACTGAGCCTGTCTTAAATGCCCCTGCTATCCAGGGCACTGACTAACCAGCCATCCTCCAAGGCCAAGCAGGGTCATATGAGGGAGGCAGGGGCTGCACTCTGCCAGGATAACAGGTTTTGTCTCCTTGTGGGCTATTTTCCCAAGTCGTCCTTCCTCAGCTCCAGCCTGGGAGCCCTCTATGCAGCCCATAAAGCTACAATTCCTGAAGCCAGGAGAGATTGTTCCCAACAAATTTATATCATGCAGAACAAGAATGGACAGCCTACTTCATGAATTGCACACTACAGGATTCTGAGTAAGAAAGTGCAGTTAAAGAAAGGATTTCACCCTCATTCCTCAATGTCAATTTCTTTCAAGAAACAGCAGTGAAATACGGGAGCACTGCAAGACAACTGTGTACTAACATTATTTTGTATGAAGTGGATTTTTTTTTTTTAATCAAACACTTGTAAGGAGGTTCTAGGCTAAATATACTAACTCAGCACAGTATGTGAGCCTGTTTCTAAATAGCATAAGCAACTTCCACATTTTCCAAAATCTTTTCATTGTAGGAGAACTTATATCATGTAGAACACGGAAGAACAATACACTGCCTAACTTGTACAATACAGGTTTCTGAGTATGAAAGTGCATATGAATAAAGAGTTCACCATCATTCCTAAAAGTCCATTCCTTAAAAAAAACAAAAATGAACAAAAAAGAAAAAAAACACCAGGGAAACCTGTGAGCACTGCAAGACCATTGGGTACTAAGATTATTTCATATGAAGTGGTTTTTTAATCAAACACTTGTAAGAAATTTCTAGGCAAATATACATATTCAGCACAGTATGTAGGCCTGTTTTTAAATAGAACAAGCAACTTCCACACATTTTCTGTAAGGTTTTCATTGTAGAGAAGAACTTACATCATGTAGAACATGCATGGACAATCTACTACATAACTAGTGCACTAGAGGTTTCTGAGGACTAAATTGCATATGAATAAAAGAGTTCACCCTCATTCCTCAAAGTCCATTTCCTTCAAGGAAACACCAGTGAAATATATGAGCACTGTAAGAGCAGTGTGCAGTGTGTATTATTTCATATGAAACAGGTTTTTCATCAGATAGTTCTAAGGAATTTCTAGGCCAAATGCACATTCTTAGCACTATGTAAGCCTGATTTTGAATAGAATAAGCAACTTCCACACATTTTCGGTACAATTTCATTGAGGGAGAAGAATTTATAGCATGTAGAAAAATGCAAGAACAATCTCCTACATAAGTTGTACACTACAGCTTTCAAAGTATTTAAGTATATATGAACAAAAGAGCTAACCCTCATTCCTAAAAGTCCATTTCCTTCAAGAAAACACCAGTGATACGTGGGAGCCCTGAAACACCAGTGTGTACTAAGATTATTTCCTATGAAGCAGGTTTTTTACCGAACACTTTTAAGGAGTTTCTAGGACAAATTCCCATATTCAGCACAGAATGAGAGTGTGAATTTCAATAGAATAAATAACTTCTACACATTTTCGTTCAAGTTTTCATGGTGGGAGAAAAATGTACATCGTGTATAACATTCATGGACTGCCTAAAGCATGAATTAGACACTACAGGTCTCTGAGTATGAAAGTGTATTTGAAAAAAAGAGTTTGCCCTCATTCCTAAAACCCTATTTCCTTTAAACGAACACCAGTAAAACATGGGAACCCTGCAAGACCAGAGTGTACTAATATTATTTGGTATGAAGTGAGCTTTTATCAAACATTTGTAAGGAGTTTGTAGACCAAACACACAACTGCAGCATAGTATGTGAGCTTGTTTTTTAAGCAGAATAAGCAATGTCCATACATTATCAGCAAAGTTTTCATTGTTGGAGACAAAGTTATATCATATAGAACATTCATGGATAGCCTATGTTATGACTTGTGCACTACAGGTTTCTGAGTCTCACAGTTCATACGAACAAAAGTGTCCAGCCTCAGTCCCGAAAGTCCATTTCCTTAAAGAAAGCTCCAGTGAAGCATGCAGGCTCTGAAAGGCCAGTGTGGACTAAAATTATTTCATGCGAAGTGGGACTTTATCAAACACTTGTAAGGAGTTTCTTGGCTGAATACACGTACTCATCCCACTTATGTGTACCTGTTTTTAAATAGAATAAACAATGTTCATACATTATCTGTGAAGTTTCATTTTCAGAGACAAATTTATATCATGTAGAACATGCATGGACAGCCTACTGCTTTAATTGTGCACTACAAGTTTCTGAGTATGAAAACACGTATGAAGAAAAGAGTTCACTCTCATTCTTCAATGTCCATTTCCTTCAAGAAGACACCTATGAAATATGGGAGCACTGCAAGACAAGTGTGTAGTATGGGGGATGGGTGCCCCTGAAGTCCCCATATTCACCACAGATGGAATAATCATTCCAGACACTGGTGGACTGTCATGGAAGAGATATGGTGATTCCCTCTAGTGGGGAATTCCCCAAGCCCCATGCTCAATGGCTTTTATTGAAAGGATTACCAGTGGGAGCTAGGTAGCAGGTATGTATAGGTAATCGGTTACATCAGTATCCTAAGTTTACACAGTGCAGATGATGTTTGAAGAAAACAAAATGGCAGGAACACAGTGATCTGCATGGTTCTGGGATGAGTAAACATAAGAGTGCCTAATGGTTTAGGGTCAGGGTCCATGAATGATGTAAATTTCCTTCCCAACATGAGCTAGTTATCACAGCTTGAGGGTGAAACAAAGCATGCTTCAAGGAGTGTAATTTACTTCTAGACCTGATTTCCTCCAGAGGCCCTTGGAGCTATTATCATGTCCTGCCTATCAACCACATTACCCGCTTTCCAGCCAAGTACTTATGGAGCCTCTCACAGGCCCTAGCTTGTGTGGGCCTACAGTCCCTGATACCACTCAAAGTGGTCCCCAACATCTCCCCCTTTTTTGTTTGTTAGACTAGACATTGAGGTGAGTCTGACAAAACCAACTACTTGTTTTTCCCTCACTTTATCTTTGCAGAACAGCTTGCAAATGCTTTGCAAAGCACAGAAGACAGTAATGATCAATAAGCATCCTTCAGCCCCCCTGACCCATACATGGAGGTTTAGACTCTCAAACCAAGTCTTAGGATTGAGCCATTGCAAATTTTCATGAAGGGTTTGGAAAACTTCTTGCTTGAAAAGTCTCTTAGTGTCCTGGAGTTGTTGATGCAGCTCAAGCTGGAGCTGGTCTATCTGGGCCTTCAGATTGGATGAGAAGGCCCCCCTAAGGTGGTGTTGTACTTCTGCCCAAGAGTGTTGACTGGAGTTCCATTGCAGTGGGGTAATGCACAGCTTGGAGAAGCAGGGATCACAGGTGAGCTCCTGGAGGGTGACAATGGCATCCTGGTGTTCCCCTAGCCATATCACAGCTGATTCTATAGCTGAAAGACTGGTGAGGATTGCCTGATCAATTCAAGTCTGTTGAATCATTTCCTGGGTAGCGTTAGTAAAAAGAGCATCAACAGCGTGAGCACTTTGGACATATTCAACAAGGGCCGTGCTGGCTGCTGCCATATGAGACAACAACAACAATAGCAGATGCAATGTAAGCAACAGACATGCCTATGAAACATTTTACCCTGACTTGGACAAGTGCCCAATTCAGAGCTGCTAGACCTCCTGGGTCCTGCGATTCTCAGGTGACATCTACAGGTAGCCAGATTTCTGTTTGCTTCCATATGACAAAAATGGAAATAAGCCTAAGGGAGGTCACAGTAGCATTTTCCCCATCATACTCTCTGTCAAAACCTATTGCTTCAATTAGGCCCTTGTTCTCTCGCACTCCTCACTTGCTGCCTGCTGCCCACCGCCTGCTGCCCGGCATCTGCCGTCCTCCAATGGTTCTCTCGTTAGTCTGCCGCCACCTCCTCAGACACCTGTCCTAGTCTCCGAGCTTGGGACTTGCAGACAAGCGTCCTTGTCACAGGGAGGCCAGAGCCGGAGCCAGCGCTTGAGAACCTTTCATCCGAGAAGTTCGAGGCACTTTGTAGAACTTCTGTCACACAGACTGTGGGTCTTGCAGCATGTTTGTAAGCAATGCTGCTGCCATCCAGAAGAAATTGGTGATTGTCGGAGATGGAGCCTGTGGCAAGACTTGCTTGCTCATCATTTTTAACAAGGACCAGTTTCCAGAGATATATGTATCTACAGTGTTTTAGAACTATGTGGCAGATTTGAAGTGGTTGGACAGCAGGTAGAGTTGGCTTTGTGGGACACAGTAGGGCAGGAAGATTATGATCACTCGAGGCCCCTCTCCTATCCTGACACTGATGTTATACTAATGTGTTTCTCCATTGACAGCCCTGATACTTTAAAAAACATCCCAGAAAAATGGACTCCAGATGTGAAACATTTCTGTCCCAGTGTGCCCATCATCTTGGTTGGGAACAGAAAGGATCTTCAGAATAATGAGCACGCGAGGCAGGAGCTAGCCAAGATGAAGCAGGAGCCAGTAAAATGGGAAGAAGGCAGAGATATGGCAAACAGGATTGGCGCTTTTGGGTACATGGAGTGTTCAGCAAAGACCAAAGGTGGAGTGAGGGAGGTTTCTGAAATGGCCATGAGAACTGTTCAGCAAACCAGATGTGGGAAGAAAAAAGTCTAGGTGCCTTGTCTTGTGAAGCCCTGCTGCAAGCACAACCCTCATGTGGTTAATTTTGAAGTGCTGTTTATTAATCTTAGTGTATAATTACTGGCTTTTTTCATTTATCTATAATTTACCTAAGATTACAAATCAGAAGTCATCTTGCTACCAGTATTCAGAAGCCAGCCATGACTATTAATGATGTCCTACCCACCTGACCCACCAGGGTCCTTCTGACACCACTCTAATAACCTTCTTCTGCACTCCCACCTGATACACCAGGCACTAATTCAAGGAATTTCTTAACTTACTGCTTCTGTCTAGAAAGAGAAAATGGTAACTTTTGTGAATTTGGCTGTAACTACTTCATAACTAACATGGCTTGCCTGTCATTTGTCAGCTACAAGGTACTCTGGTCAGTCACCACTTCAGACCTTTCCTCCCGAACAGATTTCATTGGAATAGCTCTGGAGTGGACATCCAGTTTTTTCAAAACGTGCTCAGCCAGAAATGCCCAAGTCCATGCAGCTGTGGCGGTTACACTTCTGTGGTTTCATGTTAGTTACCTTATAGTTACTGTGTAATTAGTGCCACTTAATGTGTGTTACCAAAAAATAAATGTATCTACTCCTGACTAGATGTAGTATTTTTTGTATAATTGATATTTGTCATCCTCACAGAAAGTGTATTGGTTTTTTTAAAAAAAGAAGGCATATTTGAAAATAAAGTCAGACAGAAAATTCATTTAAAAAAAAAAACCTAGTGCTCCGATTAAGGAGATATTAGTTTGGGATTCTCTGCTTCTTAAGGCATAGGCATACCACCTAAAAGTTATGGGCAGGCACAGCGTGTCAGGCAAAGTGGAAAAACGCGCTGGCAGATGATCAGAAACATATACAGTATTATTTGGGATGATCATCCAATGTTTGTTCTTTTGCAGAGGCCCATCAGCTGGGACCCAAACATCTTCCATCCACTTGGTGTCATTATTGGACAATGGAGGTTCTGGATTCCATCAGATGTGTAACTTAAACACTGGTATGTCTAAGATGTGACCCCAATAAATATACTGGTTATCTGCTGCAAACCCTGAGCTTCCCAAACATATCAGAATGATGCATATAGTTATTATCCTTACAGAGTTGGCAAAAATTACAGAGAGACATGCTAAGAACCGATTTTCAGGGGTGTCTAGAACCCCTTCGTCCTGCATGACTTTCTTTGCTTTACTATCAAGACTTTTCAAATCCCCCCATGTGACTCCTTTAGGTTCACCCAGGGGCTCATCACTCAGTTTCTGTTGGTTTCGTTGTCGATTCTGGACTTTCCGTTGTCTCTCTGTCAGTGCCATCTGGGCCAGTTGCTTGGTTATACCCTCAAGGTGTTGGATTCTCTCTTCCCAGTTTATCTATACTGGTCAAGATGAGAGGCCCATGGTAGGGCTTCATTCTTTTTGCAGGTAACCACAATGGTCCTTTTGGAACTGAAACACAAACATATCCTCTCTCTCAGGTTAGCAATTCTGGTCCCTCCCAGTTTCTATTTCCTAGGGGGCCCTGGTACAATACCAAAGGGTTAGGTCCCTTATTGGGCTTATTCTGGTGAATATCTTTCTCTATTGGAGTAGTAAGTGAATCATCACAATTAAGAAAATTATAGATGTACATGGCTAGCATTAGTAATTTTTAGGGGAGGACTCCTGACTCCCCCTTTTTTGATGGTTAAGGAGAGACTTAAAGGTATGATGAGCTCACTCTACAACTGCTTGACCAATAGGATTATAAGGAATTCATGTCTTGTGCTGAATTTTCCATCTGTATAAAAACTTTTGAGTCGTTATCAGTCTTGGAAGTAGGCTGAGGTTATAGACCCAGGTCTCTGGCACAGCTGAAAAAACGCCTAAGTTTAAAAGTGTCACTTTTTTTTTCCTACAGTGTTAGAGAAACAGGCACCCTGCTGTTATGATTAGTGAGTTAATTACTCTATTGTTCTTGGGACCAAGTAGCTCCTAGGTCTAGAATTTTAGTATTCCAAAGGCTTATATGCTTACTTATCCTTTATTCATTTTCTACTTCTAATGTCCTTCCTTCCCATGCCACATATGGATGTGGCATATATTTTTCACTTTTATTCCTTTTTACCTTTCTCCTTCATAATCCTTCACCTTCTTAATTCCTTCTTTCTACTTCCTTTCCTTTCCTTCATTTCTTAATTCCTTCCTTCCCCCTACACAATCCTTCTTTAACTTGCACAGACCATTTACAACTTAATTGAACCTCTAATGGGGCACAACCAGGGCCCCCCCAAGGGTATTTGTAATGAGATCTAGAAATTGGAGTGTCCAAGAAAAATATATTCTCCTCACTCCAAGGCAGGCCACCTGGGGAATGGGAGCCTCGAGCAGGGCCACTGAGAGTTACTTTGTCTATCAGTAACAGGCCAGCTTCTTACCTGAAGAGGAGCAGGGCCATTGAGAGTCATTTTGCATGTCAATAATTGGATAGCTTCATTCCTCATATTCAAAGAGGGTTATTTTGCATATCACCAAGGCTAATCAGGAAGGTCTGAAAGACAATGCAGAATGTCACTGGGAGAAGAAGGAGAGACAAAGGGACACAAACTCTGGGGAACATGGTGAAGACCATGTGGGAAGAAAGGGGGAGAAAAGACTTGCTAGTGGGCCCTGAGAAGGTGCCACACCGTTATGGATGAAGAGCTGGAGATGGTGGCGACACAGCAGATGGTGCTGAGAAATGTGAGAGATATGCCTAGCCGAGCCCTGGACTTCTGTTCTTTTTCTTCTGAAGGACGGTGTCCCAGACTGGCCTGACTGCCCTAACTGGGCAAAGTGGGGAAGGCACGAGGGTGTGTGTGTTGGTGGGTGTTTCAAAGGGATTTTGAGATTTAAGAGCGACATTTAGCCATTAATCAAACCTGTATAACTTTTGAATAAATAGTTTCATTCCTTTTCACCAAACTTTGCCATTCAGAGCTGTAATTCCAAGGGCAGCGGGCAAAGGACCTAAAACTGAGGGACCCCGGGGAAAGTGGGGGGGTCGTTGTTTCAGTAATAGCATCTGGGCCACTCCCCGCTCCCACCACGGGTCCATTTGTTTGGTAACAAACCTGCAACATACATGCCCAACATTCTAAAATAAGTATAATAAGCCTCTTAAAACTTAAGCCTAATTAAGTTGCCAAACATTTTACCTAAGAAGTGTATTATGAAATGAAGAGAAGGGAACGTATAAATAATGCAAACGAGTGAAGAAAAGGTATAGTTAGGAGGAAAAAAACCCGGAAAAGCCAACGCTTCCTACTCAGGGCTGTAAGTAGTTTATTTCTCCTTTAATGGCTGTGATAAGTCCGAAAGTATAGGATGACTGAAACCTATTGTCTTTAATACTTTTTTTAAGATCTTTAAAGATTGCAAAAGTTAAAGCTCATGCATAGGGTTGCCTCTTTGCTTAACATTAGGGAAAGCAGCTAAAGCTTGCCAATCTCCTTCCTTCCCAGCTTCCTTTTGACAATGCTGCAGGGCAGGTATGGTGTGATGTATAATGCTGCCCAGAGGTGGGGGATGGACCAAAGAGTTTTTTAAATCTAAGTCCCAATGCGTCACTGATGGGCAAGTTGGTGGAGGAGATTCGGGAGACTGTGTTTCCCCTTTCTCTTCATCTTTTTTAGGAATATCAGAGGGCTGTTTCTTCAGATCCTCACTGGGATTGGACAAGTGCCCTAATCAAGTTGCTTTAATATGTAAAGGAACTAATGTAGATCTTATTAAATTCCAAGTAAGAAGATTCTGATGGCCAATGTTATCCCATTTTCCTGGAACCACTTTAATTTCTCTCCTACTTTCTCCCATACCTCAATATCTAGTGATCCTTTGCCAGGAACCTCAGACAATAGTCTTTCACTGTCTGCAGTAAATTAACTAAATTTTGTTCCTTAACCTGACATCCTGCAGCTTTAAGTGCTGTTGGAGCAGTCAAAAATAGACCTGCTGCTCCTTAGAGTCCCAAGCCCATTTTTGCAGCTGGGAAGCCTTTTCTTGTTTTCCAGCTATGCCACCTCTCAACTCCACTCCCCTATATTAGCCTATATTTAATCCTATTAGTCTCTTCTGACTAACTGCTAGGGAATGAGAAAAGTGTAATGGGTCAAAGTGTGCTGCTTGTGCGAAAAGGCTTCCAAGGGTGTCATGCCTTGGTTACCCCAACTTTTTTCTATATCTTGCTTTCTCCCCTGATTGTCTAAAACAGCCAGGGGGGCTCAGAGTGCTGGCTAACCATGCCTTACGTTGCAAGTCCCCAGAAAAGTTGAAAGTTACATTATCATGAGTGGAATTTCTTGGGAGGTCCCTCCACATCTTAGGAAATGATTCCAGACACCCTTCCAAGGCTCCTACTCATGTAGGAACACCCTTGGACGTGTGGACTCATGGTCACATGATCCCGATCCAAGGGCAGAGCATGTCTTTTTTCTCTGGAGCACTCATTCAAATCCTGACTACTTAACTACTTACCTGCTGGAGACTTCCTAATTTCATTTGAAAGTGGAGGAAGGGGAAGGAAAAGAGTTCCGGAAAACCCAGTACTTTCTACTTTAGGTTAGATGTTTGATTTCTCCCCTTTTCAGGAACTAAATCCTAGGTGGGAAATGTGCCTCAAGGGTAGGGCTGTGTTTTTACAATGTGCCTCTCATTGCATGAACTTTTGCTTGAGGCTGGTGGGAAACCTAGTGTTTTGTCCCAGTCCATATCCAGCTTATCCTTTCAGGAGTCCTTATTGCAGCGAGTGTCCTTGTGGTTTTTAAGTGCACTACCCATACCCACGAAGGCAGTAATCCCTTAAGAAGGAGAAAGGAAGATCCTGCAAAGAGTTTTTAGATTCAAATTGAACTTCTAGATGGAATTGCAGAAAGTGGTCCTAAAGAAAATTCCCCTTCCTCTATCTCTGACATGTCGGTGGCCTAACCACACTGATGGTGCCCCTGTCCTTTACCTTTGGGATGAGTGC